GTGTGAAAGCAAATTACACCTCCATCTCCTAATTCCATATGACCACACAAGTGGAGTTTCTTCAGTTAACATCCTATCCATTGCAGATAACACTGAATCCTTCTCGGCTAATGGATTTTAATTCGCGTGAATAACTCGTAGCAACATAGACAGTGTACCCCACTGTTAAGTCACTTAGACAAGGGACTATGATGATGGAGAATATTTGTAGCTCAGGTAGATGATCTTGGTTGTATTGCGTTCTCTGATAAGTGATAAACGACGGAAAGGTGAGAGGTGAAGCAGAGGAACAACCAACAGGAAAGTCTATACAATCGAATACACATCAATCGAAGGAAACAACCAATCACAGACCACATCATCAGAGCAAGCCACTAAATCAGTCACGGAGAGAAATTAACAGCTCACTTCATAGTGAAGTTAGTGTTGATGATGTCACTGTCTAGAAGACAATGAAAGCTTCACGATTAAACAACCCAGCCAGCTGAGAGAACACAATACAACCAAGACAAGGGAGTGTAGTGGAGACCTGATGAGTAGACTTCTCAGTATAATTAAGTGAGTGGAAAATTTGCACATTCAGATTGCTTCGAATATATACTTTCAACACTCACTCCAGGTTTCACGAAGAGTTGTATAAACAGAAGTATGGTGTTGCAATTGGCTGCCCTCCCCATCCATTTCCCAGCTCATCACTTCATGTTCCTTCTGAAAAATGGTGTTCTCAATCTGGTCATCATCTAGCTAAAATCTTACGGAAAGTGCATTGAACATATTTCTATTGCATTCAATAAATAATTCGAGTTGAAAGAAAGCCCTCGAGTTTTTCAGTGCTACTAATTCATGTATAAGATTCGCTGTAGAGTGTAGAACTATTTCGATGCTCTCACTCCTGGATATGGTATTAACAAGAGTTTTCGACAGTAATATACATGGACTGGACATTCTATCGACTACTGATTCTTCATACCTCTCATTAGTAGACAGAATCATGTACTATCGTTATGTTCAAGAATGTAGAAGATCCGTTCTGATGATGTCTGTGTAACACCTTATCAGAAAATGATCACCCACCTACATGGAGTGATTTTCACCCAGAAGAAAAATCATAGATACAGAAGTTGTTGACCATCTCAAAGTAAACTGCGCATATGATGATAGAATTGGAAGGCAGAACTGTAACTGATATCCTCAAAAATCACGATTCAAGGTGTCTGGTCAGGACAGTATATACATCTAGCTGAAGAATCACACTCGTCAGTAGGCTATCAGTCTAGCGATGCGTTAAGAATAGAACACCAAATTTTTTCATTGCATTATGCATATATCATGCTACTTCCTACTTGAAGTAACGTGAACAAGCTGTACACAATGTCAGCTCGTCAATATTTTGGAAAAATTGTTCTGTGTTTTATTCAGAGGATTAGGAAGGAGTGTCAAACATTTTACTCTTGGAAACCTTCGTGGTGCCATATACTTCCACAGAGTCAATTGCCAAGGATCCGACGAGATTCAACAATGGTGATGACCTTCATAGTTTAACTGGACTCGCTCAGCTGAAGGCACATGGTCAAGCATCCACGCCATTCAGCACGCTGTCATTTAACGTTGGACTGCTCGTAGTCGACCCTGCAGACAGCTAATCGGAATGCATCGGTATTTCGTCACTATTTCGCAAGTATACTATTCCATCTGACCACGCTATTGTGTTCTTCCTTTGCCTCGCATTCGTGAGTATATAACCAGTACGCATGATTAGTGAATGGCCTCTGTATCTGTCAAGTTCGCACAACGACAACTCCCTAATCTCATTATCTCCGTCATTTGGACCATTCTAGAGATTTTCCCGTGTAATTGACAGTGTCACCTACAATGCCATACGATATTGACTGAGTCGTCTGTACACCATCAAGTGTATGGCAGTTCATAACTTCAGACCACATCCTTGCGTTCAAAAACATACTCAGCAGCCACACCATTGTAGAAGTGGTGTTTCCTTCAGACTTCTGACACAACATTTTCTTCTCCACTTGAGCATTCCAGTAATCATGTCACAATATTGATTAATAATAGACTATTTTATACAACCGCATCATGTATGAACTGGCTGGCAAGGCCTTCCAGATTGCAAAATAAGTGAGGAGGTATGGCATGGAAGAGCTTGGAATCTGCGAAAGCAGATGGAATGGAAATGGACTCTCCAAAATCTAATCTGGAGAGTCAATATTCTACTCCTATTTTGTCACGCACACTACAACCACGAGCACACTGAGTTTTCGAGTGCCCATCATGATGTCCCCTTGGAGCGCATCAAAGGCTCTTCCTCATACAGTGAGAACCAGTCTCCTTGTGCAGTATTAGGATCATGACAGCAAGATTCAACTCAATAGGAAGGAAGGTCACAATCATTCAATGCTACGCGCCAACAAATATTGCTGATCAAGAGAAGAAGGAAGAATTCTACAGACAACTGCAATCAGTACTAAACAAGACTCCGATTGGCGATATCAAAATCCTAATGGCCGATGTGAATGCCAAACTGGGAGCGGACAACACAGGGAGAGAACTCATGATGGGTCGAACAGCGTTGAGAATGAAAACGAACAAGCTGGTGAGCGAGGATGTCACAAATCACCAGTGAATTCTACGAACTGTTGATTTTTTATAGTCAGCAACTTCATCAATAAACTCTGTGCACACATCAATACCTTGTCGTTTTGAATACTTTGAGGCAAGCAGATTTCATGAGCTTCCACTCTTGCACATTATGAAACATTTCATGTTTTCAAGAGATTAGGATGCCTGAATGGTGTTGATCACTACCTGATATCATTTGGAGGGATAGTGAAATATAGAGCAGTTGTTTCACCTGTATATGGGACTGCTCAACATTGTTCTTTCTCCACCCAGTGTATAATCTAGTCACAGAAAGAGAAGCTTAAACGTTCGTCGATAAAGATGGGGTTAGATCAATCATAAGTTCCATCCTATGATACTTTGTCTGCAGTTAACATAATATAAGACGATGTACTTCGTGAAGTGAATAGACTTCAGTAACAGGCTTTCAAATCTTCGAAGTAAACATCTACACACATTGCTAAGTGTATGAACATGCAGAAGTGGGCACCAGACATCGTAGTTGACTAACATAAGCGGAATTGACACCATGATGAGAATGGTGAAAATATTTCAGCTGAAATCATGATAAATGGTGAGATGAAATTGAAGAGAGTTAGAGAAGTAGGAAACTAACCGGTAACACTAAGTTGTTCATCATCAAGATATTGAGAGATTGACTGTCATTTATCCCTTGAACACACAAGTTACTTGGCATCCACTCGATCTCTGTGGCGTTGATGAGTATGAAGGCTTGTGATATGTTGATTACGTGTTCTGGTTTCAGCGTCTGACACATTATTGCACTGCCAATAGAAATATGACACAACAGGCTTGAATTCCAATGTAAGTGCTCAAGAATCCAGGTTAACAATCATTCTACTCCTCTCCTGATTTGCCTGCTTCCATTTCCAACTGATAACTACTAGACACAATCAAAGATACATAAACTCAGTTCACACCATGTCTACATCTGACTGAGCTATTCAGCATGTGATGTAGTGAGGTGGAACCAGATTCATCGTTGCGTTATTCATGGAATCTACACTCCTCATTCTTCTCCTTCACTTAGGTGTGGTACATCATTCTCTCTAAATCAAAAAACAAAATGTTTAGTAATGTTTACCTTCATGGAATACCCTAATACATATCATTTTCACATTTCTTTGTTTTGAAGATAATGATTACCTATGAGACGTTGTCAATTTTCAGTGTATTTACGTCTCATAGACTGAATAGTGTTTAATGGAAAACATTTTAATGAAACAAAACAGAAATGGGTGGAAAATATTCATGTGACTTCTAAGTGATTATACATGTATATATATATGTGTGAGTAAATGCATCACATTGGTATCGGTCGACTTCATAATGAAATTTGTATACATCTTGTTTCTTTTGCTGGTTGTTTCATCAACTGTATTCAAAGAAACTCAAGGACTCGTGAGTTTGATTTTATGGTTTGTTATTCATTTATCGAGATGATGTTTGTGTGAGTGAAGTAGTGACTTCGTGAAACATGCATATGTGTGTAATAGGTGACCACTCTGAGCTGGCTAAAATATCTTCAGGGGTACTTATCTTTTATCAGTCATTGTGATGTAAACTAATAGTATCCAACTCAGAGTTGTTCTGAGTTGTGAGTTTTGAATACCTTATTTTCTAGGGACTAATTTCGACTTGTAATCCATTATTTGGGCGTCGATTTTCACACACAGGCCAGTGTCAAGCACCTCACAATTGTGTGATGAGCTCAACTATATGGACGTATGATCATTCAACACTATGAAATCTAGTTCACACAGAATTCACTGTCTCAACAGTTATACTGACAAGTGTTTGAATTGACTGTAACTGAATATGTGGTGAGTCGGAATTGCCACCACAACATGGTGGTAGATGATAGCCATCAGCTAGAGAAAGTGAATGTGTATGTATTTCCTCTCTGCCTTTTCTAATAGAATCTTCACTGAATACATGATGATTGTTTTGAACTGATTATGAATTGTGTACTGTGTTGTTCAACACTTGATTATGGATATGTTATCACTCATATGATCTGTCTTTCTTTGTTCATGTTAACTCTAAAGAAGAATGATAGATTCACTTCTTACTACAGAATGCTTATCATCCAACAGAAGGCTAACATCTCTGCTAAATCTCAACATTATTATATTTGTTTGTGGAATGAATTGTAGACTTGGATAGAATTGTCTTAGTTTTGGTGGTAGTAATCACCCCTTCCCACCATCAAACTGCACAGCAAAGTTGTTGATAAATATTGTAGGTTCGGACATGTATAGACGAGTTGTTTCAGTTACAGGTTGATGCTTCACTTCTAATGTTTTCTTGATGAGTGACATGTGAATATGAAGTGTTGAATGATGAGATCTAGCTGTTTGTTATATCCTGTCAATTTCATACATACTTCAACTGATATCACTTATGATGATAATCTGATTTTAGCATCCTCTCCACAAGGTGAGTGTAGTGAAAATAGCCCTAAACATGTTTGGAATGAAGTTTTTATTTATATGCAGATAATGAGATATGAGGTGAAATGACTGGAGTAACTGTAGATGAAGGAGCATGATGTTTGTATTTGTGTGGATGTGAATGGCATTGAATGATGACCAACCGCGATTGGGTATACATTTGTAGTAGAAGTGAGAAGAGCATGATTGACGTGAAGTGAGGTTTGTCCACCTGATATGCACTTGACAGGATGAATTGCAAGCAGCGGAAATCATAGTTAGCCACTAGACATGATGACAATCACACACGTAGACCATAGTTCTGTGTTTGGAGTGTGAACTCAGCTCATTGCAAACACTTGTGTGTATTTCAAGTTGTTATTCATCGTAGACTGACATCAGTCGGAGGAACAAAGGAAACCTGGGAGCACTGGACAGCTGTTTCGTCCTAGTCTGGGACTCCTCAGCAGTGCGCACCCACTACCTCACACCAGCAGGGATCGAACCCGCGACCTTCAGGTTCCGCGGCCAGCGCGTTACCATTGAGCCAATGTTTCAGAATCCAATGCTCCATATTTCCAACTTCCGTTAGCTCACGAAACTCCCTCAAAACTTGTGTGTATGACGTTGAAATGGCATATCGTGACATATTTTGTTATAGTTATTTTCTACCCTCTTTTCTTAAGAAGAAGATGGAAGTGTATCAAAATTGTGAGTGACAGATGATATTTTTAATCTGATGAGAAGCATTTAACAAATACAAAATTCATTGTATTCATAGTAAAAAATTTCTCAAAAGTTTATTATGATGCACTGTTAGTATGGGAAATTTTACCGCATTATTCTCTGCTTGTTCACCTCTTTGGATCCAATAACATTTAAAACAGCTCAAATCATATTTGAATGTGGTCCAATGAGCATCCTTCAGTTTTCACACACCAATTCAGAATAGCACCGAATTCCCAAATCTCATATTACCACTCATTTTAACTCATCATGTGTGATGACTTCAGTAATCAACTGATCTCACTTCTTCAATCAGTATTGTTCAAACTCTGAAATGATAGCTACTCACACACAGTGACTTAATCTAGTGTTGCAGAATGACCTACTCATCGTGACACACATCAGTAGTTTATAATGCTGGACCTCAAACACATGACGTTGCTATCATCGGTGATTAACTTCGGTGAGACTGACAGAAGTTGATTATTATCACTGAGTAGTAAGTAGGTTGAATAGAAGGCAGGAATGATAGTTTCAGTTTGAAGTAATTTGCGTATGCAGTGGCTTCCAGAGCAGACTGTAGTCACCTATTTGAGATTATCGGTTACTTGGGCAATGAGCTCAGTCAAATGTGAAGTGTGGGTGATTTAACTGCAGCACCAACATTCATTGGCTCATATTGTCATGAATAAGAGAGCAGGAGAAGGCTTTTCTGTCCTCCTGAAGATGAATATCATCTCTTAACTACATTGACATAGTTGAACAGAAGTTATGTTATAACAGTTCAACAGTTATCAAGTTGATTATCAATGTTAAGTATGTCTCTTAAATTACTACGAAATCATGGATTCGCTGGATGGTGGTGTAATTATTTAGCTGAGCTTTCATCGGCCTAGTTTTCATTTCGAAAATGCAACCAAAATCACTTGGAAACCAACTGAGTGTCGTATAAGTCGCTTAGTGTGTGGATAGTTTGAGGAATATGCAGAGAATTGAATAAGGATTTCACATCAAATCCTTTGCTTGCCTCTACTACTTAGTCAAAACACAGCGTGGTGATCATGCATACGAGAAGTGACCAAATGAAGGTGATGAATTACATGCATACTCACTGAGGATTTTATAACCCAACGAAAACATCATTGGACGAATGATGAAGATGACCAGTTGTATTGTCAGAGAGAAGCTATGTTGAAATCAGTTGACTTCCTCGTTCATGATGTTATGAACAAATGTCATTCCACAGTTTTCAAAATGACAGTCACATGTTAGATATATGCACTATCTATGTAGAAGGATGTTGAAAGTTTGTTGTTGGAAAACTATGAAACAATGAAAATTTGAGAAAAGGATTTTCTATTAGTGAGTTGGATGTGTGATCACTGATCAATCGTGTGTCCGACTGAAATGTGTATTTCGAATGTGGAGACAGGAGAGATTCGCTTGTAGTGGCCAGTGGGAGAATACAACATGCCTGTTCCTTCTTATTAGAGAGTGTCAGTTGTATTTGACTGTAATCCGGTAAGTGACAGAAGTTACAAGTGTCAGCCAACAATAATTACTGATATCCAATACACAAGAGCTGTCTCTAATGTCTCAGCAGCTTAGGGTATAACGCTGGAATGTTTGGAGAAATGGGTGTGAGATTTACTTCGTATTGGTTATCCCATCACCCACATATCTAGCTGACGCATGTCAAATGTGAGAAAATAAATCTGCATGCTTGATTCCACTATCAACAACCACTAAGTGAGTTGTGAGAATAGAGATTCAAGCAGAGAAAGTGTACATGTTTTATACTGTTAGTTTGAACTCAAATAATAATCTTGTCAGTGATCGTGAAACGTGGGTTAATCTTTCCATTGAACTACTGATTTTGAGATGGTGTTGATCATAGACTGACATCAATTGGAGAACCACCGAAAACCCGAAAGCACTGGAAACCTCAGTCGTCCCAGTTTAAGACTTGTTATCAATATGCTAGTAATGGAAGACGATACAGTCAAGTTTCATCATGAGCTCGCTGGTATTCAGTTAACCCCTCCAAGTCTCTAGACCCAATCTATTGAACTCATTCTTATCACTTGCATTGGAAGCGTTCACCAACTTCAATGCTATTCTGACTTCAATCATATGTGAAGTACTAGTAATAAGCATTTATTATTCCTTGATTAAAGGTCAGCCTGGAGTTGGACCAAGTAAGTGTTTTTCGTCTTTTGTGGAATCCAAACTGTTAAAACATCCGATTGCCTAAGAGCTAACATATTTTTAACTTGACTACATCATGGACAAAATACTTCGAAATGTTATCGAATCAATGAGGGGATTAAAACACAAGATGGTTGATGACGAATTTCATAAGTGTATGTTTGCCTGTGTAAACGAATATATGAAACCTATCTATATACCTCTCAGAAATGTGATTATGATTCTGTAACATTTAGGAGAAGAGAGTAACTGCAAGGCTAAACATTTCAGTCTGCTTTTACTGACTGAACGCCGACTTCCTTTACTCCGAATCCATGGAAATTCAAAATGCAGTAGAGAAACCGAAGAATCTTTCACTCACCATGTCTTACATTATCAGCTATTCAGTCAGTGTATATTTGTGAGAATTAAGAGAGCAGTAAGTATTTCAGTGAATAGTAAGTAGAACAGGTTGTGGTGATAATTTCAGCTGTGAGGTTTGCAGTTCATTTTAGAATTAACTGCTTGTTTTGGAAGTTGATGTCGAGATGGAAAGCATTAGAATATCATCAGAAGTCTTGTGCCTAAAATACAAGTATGAAGTATGTGATGGGAGAAACCTCCTTCTCCTCAGTTAGGATTATTATTCACGAGTTTGATTACTAGCACACATCTTTTAATGTTGAGTGAATGTTATGTTCTTTCTTCTATAAAGCATAATAATCCAATTTCTATGGTAAGTACTTACAGCTTATTCGAGTGATGTATTTCAGCTTAAAACATTCACAGTAATCTTCCAGACATTTTCAAGACGTTCATATTAACTGAGTAAACTGAAAGCATGAGTGGATCTTTGATGTTGTTATACAGAACAAGGTGGAAGAGGCAGTTACACGATTTCATTGTACTTTGTGTAAAACATCCTTGCATGTATTCCATTCCTTCGACGAGTTTAGACATATCAATGAAGGTCATTTTTTCCAGAACTGAGTGTTCATAATGACTCAGTCACTGCTTAGTATTAAACAGAACAGAATAAGATTATTCATTTCAGTCTCTTCAATCCAACTGTCACCACAATTACATGTAAATTCAGATTATATTACAGGGATACTCAATTTTGCTGGTTATTTAGCACCTCATATCTCATATCACATGTCTCTGGGATGTCGCATCTCCCATGAAAACAAAGTAACTATGAGCATCCTCCTCAGCATTCCTAGACTAAGACAAGATGATTCTATTTCATTAATGCAGGTATCACTTCCAGAGTGCCTTAAATTCATATGATACAGCATGTACGACATAGGAAAATGAATCTATTGCTGTGACTGAAGACTACTCAAAACTCCTGATTTGTGAATTTCCATTTGGAGACCTCACAAACTTCGTAGAAGATTGCAATCATACAGAAAGTTATAGAATAGGAATTCAACTCATGTTGGGTACCACGCACAATCAGAGTAAGTTAGAAGAGGAGAAACAACAGCGAATTGATTAACGATGTGGTGAATTGTGAAGACGTCGTGCAAAATCGGTTCGTCTAGTGTGGCTATGTAAATGGACCAATGAGAGTGTGACCTTAGGAATAGTGTTTGGGAAATGTGTATGGTGGAATTTAGGCTAAACTGTTGAAAGTGTTTGTGGTTCTCGATAGGAAGTGGGTAGTTAATTCCCCATCAATTTTCTTTCAATCGGAGACAGAATAAATTTCGTTGAGATAAATAAAAGTCAATGCATTCATGATTATGTGTTCATTTTGTAACAATGTAGCCGAATAAATTCGTTCCTGTAAGTTATTAAGTTTATTTGCGCACACATTACTTTGATTCACATTCCATAAGTGAAACAACAATTTTTGAGTAAACTCTTGCTCTCATTTACTTCTCCTCTGAATCCTCACGTAAAACGCAATCAATGATAATTTTGTAGGGAATATTTCATATGAAGCACACCACATGTAATTGGAATCTACTGTATGATATTCAGTGATCATGTCAGCAGTTTCACACAACAATCGATTGATCTCGCTCCATTGCTTCAGGAAAGTGTGTGAAGTGGTTTCTCACAAACTCATTGGATAGGTTGATTGAATCACACAATACGAGTTGAATACTGGATTCATTGATCTCATGATTTCACTTGCTTACGTGACTCTGATGTGATCTGTGATAATGCATAGTGTAGGTAATTGAAAGAACGGTGTGCTCTAATTTGAAGATCCTGACTTGCCAAATTCACATCTGCATAAACCTACTCATCAATCACGCAGAAGATTTTCAGTGGCAAACTGTGGAAATATCCATCACACATATGCGAGGATCAACACAAGCCTGTGGTTGGAGAATTCGTCTGAAAGCTGAAGTGATTCTTTGTAGGTGTAATGAGAGAATGGTGTACATACAAGAGATGTTATGCATGGAGTCTCTTAAAAATACATTCACTTTCTCTATATGCACACTAGACTTTGTACATAACAAAGCTTATTCAACTGATCATTGAATTTCACATCGTCAGTATAACGAAGACAAGAAGAGTAATCGAGTTTAAGTCAAAGGTGGAAATTACGCACTACTACAAACTTCTCAACGTATACTTGAATGACACAGAGTAATACGAAACCATATCCATCTGTGAGAGGAAGAGACAACACTCAGAAATGAATTATAGAAATCAGTTATTACAGCTTTCATCATTTCTGTCTTTGATCAATTAGCAACCGACTACTTATACTTCTTTATCATTATTTTGTTGTTCGATTCCGTATGGCTGAAGGTTGTTTATGCTGTGCTTCAATTGCCACGTGTGCAGCCTTCACTCTATCAATAGAATTGTTCTAGTGTAAACTCATACATTCATTTTCCTTTTGTTTTCCAGTGGCAGTGCATTGAGCCAAAAGGTTTAAAACATGATCAGTCTGTGCATATATCAACCGATTACTGTGCCAGATTATCATTATTATAATTATTACTGTCATCACTTTGTGAGATGTAACACTTTAATACTTGAGAAATGCACAAAATATATTATCTTGTCTATTGTTACTATCTTCTCATTATTTGTAATAGTTGATGTCAGTTTAATAAATCTTGACTTATTTTCTATGGAAGTCCTGATTGTCAAACACTCTAAGGTCTCTGCTGACTGAATGAGTAGGTGGAAAACGTTACTATCTCTGTTTAAATGATTGTATTTATAAGGCGGTCAGGATATATCACTATTTCAAGTTTTTTGTTATGTACAAACTGGGATGGAGTGCAGATCACTTTACTTACCATCCAAGAAAATATCACAGTAACGTTTATTTTACGCAACAAGTTTACTTCGTCATCAAACAGATGCATGAGTAATCATGGAGTTCATATGGTGTACACAAGCAGTTGCATGTTTACTCCTATTCTATCTTCACCTTTCATACAAAATACCTCCACAAATAAATGCGTGACCAGACTTCGGAAAGCATGACAACCGGAAATTACATGTGCCGCAAGAGGACAACCGAAATCCGCTGCATACTTGGTAGCTGCTATGCCTCAGTGACCCAGTGTATAACACTGTGATTCGGAGCAAAATGTATTGGGTTCCAGTCTCAGTGGGAACAAAATCGCTTCTAGGGACACAGCAAGCTAAGGAGTTCAAAATGGGACGAAACGCACGTCCTAGATCTCACCAGTAGCTGCATAGCATGATGGATATCCGTCAGCATCGAAGTGCACACACAGGGGCCCATCTGCCGGCATAAGTGGAACAATTCGATCTAGAATAATAATGGGAAATAAAAAGCATCGACAAATGGAATATATTTCGTTACTGTCTTCGCAAGGTCTTTCAACCCACTTGGATGTTAATCGTGGCCACATAGTGATTGTTTGACCCCGCGCTAGCAAACAGAAAAATTCGTACAGTAGGTATGTGCAAATGAATCAGTAACTCTACTGTTTATCTTTTTATAACGCGACTGTCCTGTTATATCCTTGTCGTCACCTGTTACAATCTTGTGGTCAATACTTGATATAACCTGAGCTAAATACATATGAAAACTTGAACAACAATCCTCAGATTCTTCCCTTTGATAGTTACCCAGTTTCTCGATGAATAAAGCAGGTGATAATGCAACATGAGGTTTATTGCAACGTCAAAACGTGTACGGAATACATTAGCTTATATACATTAACGCGGATCTTGGATACTCCAGGCCTTTCTAGATTGAAATAACCTGTTGATTTTTGTCTCTTCAACCAATCCTATATTTACATGCTGATTCACATGTTTCTTCTCGAAGTTTACAAACAGAACGATTGTTCATAAAAGGCTGTAGGTATTTATGCCTTCTAAAGAATATTCCGGCAATCTTATTCCACAGCTATCTTCTTGAGTCGTGCAATGGTGTCTTGTGGTTGACTGTATTTGAATAGCGTCATGAACTATTCAGTTGACGGAGCAAACAGATTACTAAGGTGACTATAAGTTCACTGCAAACTATAGTATCATTTCCACGGAAGATGGGTTGCGTCATGACACCTGATGACTAGAGTATCCGCGTTTAAATCATGCCGATAGTGGACGGGTTATTCTCGTGCAACCTTTGTCACTAATGGGTACGTTTGTAACGCGTTCGAAATCTTACTCGTCTACCTTCCAGTTTCAATTTCATCTCTTCGTTGTCAAGCTGTACCATTCGTCAGTTATCGTTTATTATTAAATGTAGGTACATTCTGTGTACTTGTTGGGTCGTCGGCTCACCTCTTCCCCTTTCCCTCTCCGCATTCTCGTGGCCACCAACAAGTTCGTACTACTCTGGGTGTCCCCCTGCAACAACGTACCTACCTACAGGACAGACGGAAACGTATCGGCGGGTGGTCATTGCACATTTCCAATGTGGCTCCGAATTACCCCAACAGTACCATAAAGTTCACGAAGAGATAACCAAGAAAACCGTTCCATCACATCTGTTGAAGGTGCAGAAAGCTGCCGTGCTCCATACAGAGGGCCATAAGAAGCTGCCCTCCACTACACAAAAGCTATCAGCCTTCCAGAACAAAGCAATGAACAAATGAATATATTTTGTTACTAGGTTATGAGCTTGACATGAGAGAAGTCGATCTACAGGCACGATCAAATTGGTAGCTGCAGAGGAACCTAGAAGATTTGAGCAGTGTTGGATGATGGAGAAGGGAGAACATTGAATTCCATCATGATATTAAGTGTCTGAAAGTTATGAAAAGAGCAGGAAAATATAACTTCACGGTAGGGTCGACACCAAAGGATAACACAATCGAATGCAAAACAACCTACTGAAAACCTTGAAGCACTGGACGGCTGTTTTGTTGAGACTCCTCACCAATGCACATCTGTGAACCGTCAGTGATTGAGCACAAAACTACAACTTCTCACACTGAGTACTGCAATATTCAGTTGCTGGTTTGGAATCCATTTGTCCATTTTTCCAATTCCTGCGTGAATAACAACCAATACCACCACTGGACGTCCATCCGTTATCAAACTCGGCTTGATTCAGAATCCACAACTGCTCGTTAGGATTTGACTTGACTGAAGTCACTAGTAAGAACTCAAGTGTAATTCAAGTAGGGGTTTTGCTGTAATTTATCATTCCTAAAGTAGCTCTTGTCATTGATAGGCATTAGTTGCAGAACTAATACTAGGCAGCTGTAGTATGATCTTGAATGGTTCTTCAGTCAGTGTGAGTCCATGATGAAAGCTACCGAATTTTATTGTTATTGGTTACTTGAGAGCAATAAGCGTCTAACTGCTGACACGTTTACATTGTAATTTAAACATCAGTAATAAAGTTTATCTTTCAGAAGAGGAGGTTGACTGTTCCCCACATGATGTTGTTTACGGTACGGCATGTCACATGCTTCTATCGTATTTTGAACAGTAGACACTATAAGAAGTGATGTGGATGAAAACGACTTTTGATTTAATTATTTTAAACAGCGTGGGACGTAGCCGTCTGCACAAATTTTATCCTTGGTCACGAGGTTCTGACTATTGAGCACGTCGGCTTAGCAAACACAGATGACAATTTGGACACCTGATGAGTTAATTTCTTGATTTCATGGATGCAGTTCTGGCATATCAAATACGAATTTCCTCCTGATGATTGGTCTCCATTGAGATATCGCTGATAGTAGATGGTGAAGTGTCAGACTGCAGTGATCAGCGTTTTGCTATGACACCGAAAGTCTTCGACCGTTAAGTATTATTGTCTCGAGAACCACAGACAAGCAGACTAGACTTCCGCACAGGGATCAGATCAGTAGAGGAGTCATTCATAGACCTGCGCCATCTGTCGTTTTGGCCATCTTGAGAATTCTGACAACAGAATCTTACATCGTCTAACTCCAAATATGGTGAAATGCAGGGTTGAGCATGTGCAACACATCCAAGTCTACCTAGTCGCTGAAGCTTCATAACCTCACAAGCTGATTTCTCTTACCAGCCTGGCAGCATCCACTTAACCTCAACATTGCTCACGAGGTGATTCCACTATATACAAACAGTGGTGTAATACCAGATGTAGCCGAATCATGTAATCTCTTCATGTCTTCCATTTTCAACAACCACACAAAATATCAGTTGTTGTCAGCCACTGTGAATACAGTTTCATTCAAACTGATAACGAGAATCTTCAAATCAGCTCGACAAACTTGTACATTTACAAGGCTATTTCAGTTGAACCTCTCACTAATGATTCATCATTTGTACAAACCTCTTACATGTATATATGGAGACAGTGGGATTCATTCTCGAATGCAGATGAACATCTTGATTCATTACATGAATGTATGATTGTTGTTCATCTTCAGCTAACAATGAGATTCTATGAAGACTGAAGCATCCACAAATGTTGATGAATAGGATTGAAGAGGTGAGGAAGACAGATGCGATTGACAATAATTTCTTATACACATGAAAATGATCGTTGCTTTTCAATACACAAACAGTATAACTACATCATGTACATTATTTTCAATAAATTTCATACTTTTATTGACAAGTCAAAAACATTTACTGTAAGTGGGATACAGCATCAGATTATAAAAACGACTTGCATTGTGTATTGAAAGTAAATGATGCTTAGTGTTTGCATTGAGAGAGTTTATTTGATGAGATGGATTGATTGGGATTCTTGTCAAGCACACTTCAAATGTGAACATTGTTTATTTTTGTAGAAGAAATTGTGTTATGAGATGATGTTTCAATGCCACGGACTTCATTTCAATCTTCATTTTCACTAGTATGCAGTGTAAAATAAGAAAAGTAGTTGTAGTACAGAATCCAATCAGTTAGTTAGCTAGTTATCTTTTCCAGTTATTGACTATTGGGCAAAATGTATGAAGATTGTGCTTCGAAATGTTTCAGCTATTACAATTCAACTGATAAAATATACTCCTTTATTCATGAAGATGAACAAGACATGTATCAGTGAAGAAATATTTTCTTCAACATCTTCATTATCAAGCTGTACAGGCATAATTATTATCCGCAAAATGATAGTTAAATGCACTGAAAACTTCCTCAGTGAATATGCAAAATATACAGTAGGTGTTGGTGGTGGGATTTGTTCATGTGGAAGAAATAGAGAATGGGTGACTGTATAAGGAATGAGATGATAAGAAGTGGTGAGTTAAGGGACAACAGCTGTCAAAGAAGTGTAAAGTGACGACAATTGAAGTAAACCATTTAATTTTCTCTTGTACACATTCTAGATTGTAAACAGCTGATGAAAACCACTGTAATAATATGAAATACATCCATATTATTCTGCTCCAGTGTTTGTTCTTGCTCTTTTCAAGTTGATAAAGAGAAATGTGTGGATAAAAATATTCCAAGATTGTATTTCTGTGAACAGACATGCCAGAAATCTATCAACAATGAAGT